CCCGGTTTTATATCAAAGACTGTGTACAAAATTTGTTGTCTCTACTTCCTGACTCACTCTAATTGATCGTCCTTTCTTTATGCGTCCTACAAAATAACGAACCTAGTAAGTCGGAAAGCTGAATAAATGAGTAGTTCTGTCTATGCTAATATGCAATGCAACACATACAAACTATATAAAACAGAGACGATAACCCTATTTAATATTCAACTAAAAAATATCAGAAACGTCTCATCATGAATAGCAAATATGGTATCGTTCGTTCGTTTCGTTGATTCAAGTTTAGAATTTGAGTTGAGATGTGATTTTATGTGAGAGCTTTTTACTGTAGCAACAAAAAATTAGATGTGACTATTTGTGAGAGTTTTTTACTGTAGCAAAACTCAAATTCTAAACTCGAATCAGCGAAACGAACGAGGCTGATTCGTGTTTGTCATACTTTCACTTTGCATTAACATCCTACACAACACAATAGCACTCTCCAATATCACATAACCACAATTGTAATCATAATCATACATGCAGATAATGCATATGTAGATGCCACATATATATATATATATATATGATTTTAATGATTACTTCATTATTTACTCCTTAATAGGTATCATTATTTTGTTAGATTTTGAACGTGCATGTATACATATATACTAATAATTGTCTATTATATGTTATCATATTAAGTTAAGCCCATTTAAAGTGATCAAATAAGGTTTTAGGTAATTTAGGCTTTAATGCATCTAATAAGTGTGGACATACTATGTGTAGAGATCAAATCGTTATTTTTTATTTTATGATGGGTCAAATTAGAAATAATAAAAAGTTGACTTCTACATAAATGGTTATGGTCCCTAAATTATATGTATGAAACTTTTCTGACATCCCATTATTAGAAAAGTGAGAATTCCTTCTCAAGGCATTCATATTGAATAATTTGGAAGATCAAGGACCAAAAGATTGATCAAGAACTACAAGATTCATGAAACAATCTGTTCCTATGGACTCAAGTACGTTTCCGCTTAAGTCTATTCTTCTTGATGATTTGACATGGTGGATCTTGGTGTGATTAAGGATTTCATCAATAAAGAATTTATTTCTATTATGTTTAGTCGTAAGATATTAATCTAATTGTTATAATAAATTATATAGTTAACCAAAAAGATTTATGATAATTAATGGAACTGAAATCTTATCAGGCCACGTCATCAGATTTCTATATTTGGTGATAATAACTGATAGAAACGTAATCATTAAAAATTCGTCCTAGTACTATTGCCAAGTCATGCTGATACAATATTGTTTGCCCTATTTTGCGTTAATTGAGACACAAGGAAATCTAATAATCCTTTATCTCAAACCACTCATAATGTATTGAAGTTCAATATCGAGTTGTTGTTTCAACTGCTGCTGAATAACTTGATCGATTGCTTCTTCATGAGATTGACATATCTCCCTTTGCCACGCTATTTTTTTTTATTAGTATAATTTTAATACCACTTATATTTATGCAATTTTCGTCTTTCATTCCCGCATGAAACATAATGCTATTGATTTCACTTAATTTGTACTTGACAAACAATAAAGTAGAAGCATCTCCTTCTTTCACATATTTTGATGATGGACCTGCCGATATGCCTTGATGAAACCGCTTATACGCATATAACAAGATCTACAAATCAAAATCAGTCTTTATTTTGAGAACTCCATTTTTGAAGGGGCGTGATAGATCTAGAGGAAAGTGAATGAATGACTAAATCATGATTAATGGGATTCTAATTAATTGTACCAAATGCATTTTTTTTTATATTATTTTAGTATATCTGTAATTTTTCCTTTAGTTAGTATAGATTTAAACAAGTATATGCTGTAGAATTCTTTACAAAGCATTCACAATTTTCCGCTCTCTTCAATTGTACTCTAATATAGGGAATTTTTACTGCACGTACGGTACCCTTTTTTTGTCCTACAGATAGAGCAATTCTTTTAACCGTCGAATGAAATTTTAATGGTTACATCTATGGGTGAGAGCACTTTATCCTTTTGTCGTATAGATAGTGCATTATTTTTACATGAATATTTCATAGATTTGACCGTCAAACTCCACAAAGCAAAACAACGTCACTTACCGTAAAATCTTCAATTGTATACGTATACACATATATATATATATATATATTAAACCTTTATTATAACATCAATTGTTGAATCTTTATTATGTCTTCTACTTTCGGGGGTACTTAAGGTCGGTTTTGTCGTCGCACCGATCAAGAAAAAAAGAAATATAACGAGAATTCAAACATACACATATAATTACATATCATATCAGTCCTACACACCTAAATATATAAAAATACAGAGAAATTAAGGAGAAGAAATCCACACGGCCGGCACCTCCACCCTGCAGATGACCCTCAACACAAAATGAAAAATAAAATAAAATAAAATCCCGAAAACAACTTTATTTTTTTTATAATCGGGGATTAATTATTGGAATTAGATTACGATAATTGGCATATTATATATTTCTCCTCAAAGCAAAACAACGTCACTTACCGTAAAATCTTCAATTGTATACGTATATACATATATATATATATATATATATATATTAAACCTTTATTATAACATCAATTGTTGAATCTTTATTATGTTTTCTACTTTCGGGGGTACTTAAGGTCGGTTTTGTCATCGCACCGATAAAAAAAAAAAGGAATATAACGAGAATTTAAACATACACATATAGTTACGTATCATACCAGTCCCACACACTCAAATATATAAAAATACAAAAAAATTAAAAGGAAGAAATCCACACGACCGGCACCTCCACCCTGCAGATGACCCTCAACACAAAATGAAAAATAAAATAAAATAAAATCCCGAAAACAACTTTATTTTTTTTATAATCGGGGATTAATTATTGGAATTAGATTACGATAATTGGCATATTATATATTTCTCCTCTTAGGCCGCTCCATTAGGCTTGCCATTGGGCTTGCTTTCATCATGAGCAAGTGGAAGCAACCCCTTTTGACGACATGTCTCAATTGCTCCAACGAACATATCCTCCAAGCTGTATTTGTATTGGAAACCCAATTCCTTCAACTTCCTTGAAGAGAACTCCACATTTTCTATGTTCTCTTCAAAGCCTTTGAACCTGATCACAATATTAGTTTTTAATAAATTAGCTTATGATAAAATAAAAGCTTTATTTGTGTTTATTTATTTATTAAAAAAAAAACTGATCTCCCCCCTAGCTATTGGCTTAGTCAAAATAGCTTATAGCTTCATTATGTTATAGTACATTTCTTCAAATTAAAAAACCAATGTGTTTAACTTACTTCGTGGGAATATTATACTCAGGATATTTTTCCTTGAGCAATTTAACAAGCTCATAGATTGTAGTATTATGTGAACTTGCAATGTAACGTCCCTCAGTTTTAGGGTGCTCGTACAGAAATATATGAGCTTCGCAGAGGTCATCCAAGTGAACGTAATGTCCATGCTTTAGGATAAAATAGTGAGCTTCATTTCCTGGTTATAGAAAAAAAAAAGTTTTAGGGGTAGTTTAGTAAATATACTGGGCAGTATTATAAATAAAAACAAAAATAAATAAACATGTACTGGTGATTGGTGCAAGTCCGGTGATGAGACTTGGAGGCATAGTGGGACTAAGAAATGGGCCAATCACGAGCGTTGGAATAATAGTAATGAAGTTCATGTCGTGTTCTTTTGCAAATTTCCATGCCACTTGCTCGGCAAGAGTCTTGGAGGCAAAATACATCTACAAAATGATACATACGAAAAAAAAGGTTTGAGAAAAAACTCACTATTATGATACTGATCTTTATGAATTTTGTTAATTTTACACATTTTTTACTTAATAGAGTATCAAATTTAGCATTAAATACTTTATCATAAAAAAACCTCTTAAAATAGAATACAAATTTTTAGACAAAATTTGACATACAAATATAGGCCCAAATCAAAATGGATTTCTAATAAGAAAAATAATGGGGTAAAAAAGTAATTACCCATCCAGTCATCTTTACAGTCCGGCAAAATTCAATGTCACTCCAGCAAGATTCATCATATAAGGACTTTCCTTCTGGCGCAACATCAACAGTTCCAGCCGATGAAGTGAAAACCAGTCTCTTAACCTTTGCATCAAGGCATGCTTTCATGATGTCTAACATGCCGGCTATTGTTGGCTTAATTATTTCATTCTGCCAACCAAATAAATCATCATTTTTTAAGTTAATAATTTATTGACGTTTAACAGTACAACAAATATAGTAATTTCTATAAGAAACAAATACAATCTTCTTTTTATTTTAAAAAAAGGCAAATATAATCGTTTATAAATAAATTCATTAGCATTCAGAGCACCAAAAAAGAAACTTATCGATATATATATATATA